TTCTCTGTAGGCCAGTCTGATAATTCTGAGGCCCTGGGGAGCCTGGCACAGGGCTCCCCTTCATCTTGGAACTGGCCCAGGTGAGATCAGCTGGGCTGCAGAGCACCTAGGACTTGATTCCCAATGCTTAGTGCTGGAATGTGTCTGAGAGACCTTAGAGACGGTGGAGTCCAGGAGCTCGTGAACCTGGCTGCACATTCCAGTCAGCTGGTGAGGGAGAAAACACACCTTCCATCCACTCTTGAATCTCATTCACTAAGTCTGGATAGACCCAGAGATCAGGTTTTTCTTTATTCTGTCCTAAGGTGATTCTCACTTATTGTGGTATATAGCAGTGACAGCAAACCTTTTAGAGCTTTAAATGATAACAGATAGCCCACAGCAGCTTGTGTGCCATAGGTTTGCCACCACTGGATAGCATTTAGTGATCTTTGATCTAGCCACATACTTTAGTTTTATTTTAAAATTATATATGTATTTACTTTTAATACAGAGAATTATAAAGAAAAAACCCCAAATTCCATTTTTTCCTGAATTGTGGTAAAAAGATTAGAATATATGCTCATGTTTAGAAAACTCAAATGGTGTAAGAGCATGAAGAATGAAAAGCAAAAACCTCTTGCACCTCTGGTCCAACTCCCTAAAAAGGTAACCACTGTTAACCTTTTCTTGGGATTACACTCAGAACATACTTTTTATGGATATATCCTTACCTATCCATATACTTAATTCTACAAAATCTGAACCAAAGGAACCATTCTATACATACTATCCTGCACATTGTTTGTTCTTTTGCCCATTTAAGATATTTTGGACCTCACCAATATCAGATTATTATTATTAATAATTTTTTTTTGGTACTGGGGATCGAACTCTGGACCTTGCACTAGCAAGGCAGGCACTGTGCCACTGAGCTAAATCACCAGCCCTCTAGATTATTTATAATAATTATTAAATATGCCCCTCTTCTCCCTTCCCTTCGCCTCCCCTCTTTTCTCCTCTCTTTTCTCTTTCATACTGGGGAATGAACCAAGGGTCTTTATACTGAGCTACATTCCCAGCCTTTTTTATTTTTTGTTTTTATTTTTATTTATTTATGTATTTTTTTGGTACCAGGGATTGAACTCAGGACCTTGCACTTTTGAGGCAGGTGGCGGCACCACTGAGCTAAATCCCTGGCCCTTTATTTTTTATTTTGAGACAGTGTCTCACTATGTTTCTAAGTTGCAAGGCTTGAGTTTGTAATCTTCCTACCTCAGCCCTCTGTGGGGTGGGGTTACCAGCATGTTGCCCCACACCCAGCAAGTTGTTGTTATTATTATTATTATCATTACCATTTATTATTCTTGTTTAAAGGAAACATTGTACTGTGTGTGTGTGTGTGTGTGTGTGTGTGTGTGTGTGTGTGTGTGTGTGGTGCACTGGGGATTGAACACAGGGCCTTGCCCTAAACACTTTACCATTGAGCTATACTCCATCCCTTTATAAATTTTATTTTGAGATAAAGTGCCTAGGGTGGTCTGAAACTTGTAACCTTCCTGTCTTCCCAGAAGCCTGGCTACATTGTACCCTTTGACCAACATCTCTCTGTTCTTCAGTGTATAGCAATCACCATTTTGTTCCTATACTTTAATTTTTTTAGTGTTTAAATAAAAATGAGTACATGTAGCATTTGTCTTTCTCTGCCTAGTTTATTTCATGTAGCATAATGTCCTCCAGGGTCATCTCTATTATCACAAATGACATAATTTCTTTTTTGAAAGCTGAATTGTATATTATGGTGTATATATACTACATTTTCTTTATCCATTCATGATTGATGGACATTTTGGTTGATTCCATAACTTAACAATTGTAATCAGTGTTGCAATAAACATGGGGATACAGATATACTGATTTCATTTGGTTATATACTGAATCATTTGGTTATATACTCAGAAGTGGAATTGTTGGATCGTATGGTAGTTCTGTTTTTAGTTTTTTGAGGACCTTCAATACTGGTTTTTCATAATGGTTGTGTTAAATAAATTAATATTTTTATTGTACTTGGAACATGTTTGATGTATAGTCAGTACTACCTGTTCGTTAAATGAACTAATGAATGCATGTATAAAAATTGCTGTTATTCCATTGTATATTAAGTCTGTTTTTCATCTTTATGATAAACTACCTGAGGCAGGCAAACTTTATAAAGAAAAGAAGTTTATTTAGCTCACAGTTCTGGTAGAAAAGTTGGGTACATCTGGTGACAGATTTCTTGCAGGCAGAGTCTCAGGGTGACACATGACATCACGTGGAAAGAGATAGGGAGCCAGTGTGTGGATCTTTTTATCATTGCTACCCCTTATAAAACCAGCAGGATTCAATCATAGGGTTTCCACCCTGATGACCTTATATGCTCTTAATCACCTCAAAAGTCCCCATCTTTACATACTGTAGTCATATTATCTTTTCACCTTGTTAATACCTCACTATAGGATTAAATCAACACATGAACCAGTGTCTGAACCATAGCATATGGATATACTCCACTTTATTTTACTATTTGTGGACACCTTTGTCATGTTGGTTGCTGTAACATAAAATGCAGAAACCTGCTTATATGTATATCCTGGGTACTTTATTTTGGATACAGTGATTAGTGGCTTACTTAGGTTGCAATAGAGGGGATCAAAACAAAGGCCTTAGGAAAGAAAAGCTAGTAATGAAGTAAGAAAAGGAAATAGGACTGAATTTAGGAATTTTGCCTGGACCTAGAGTCACAGAATTGTAGATCTTAGATTTAGATGGAGCCATTGATAATTGTTCCAGCCTCCCACACTCTGAATGGGGAATGAACTATACATTTTCAACCTGTGCACTGAGGCACCCTGGGGAGCCACAGTGAGCTTGCTGGAAAGAGGGACGGGGTGCTATAGGATCTTCAAAATTTTTAACAGAAATAGTGATACTGGACCTCTTTCAGACACTGTGAAAAGTGCTAAATCCAGAGAGTTTACAGTTTAACATTAAGCATACTGCATTCCATTTGGTGATGTTATATTTTATGGATTACAATTTAAAAATTAAATTTTATTTAATTTTTTTAAAATTTGAAACTAAAAAAGCTTTATTTATGTACTAAGAACTAAACTTTTATTCAAACAAACAAAAAAAATGACACAAATATGTATTCATCTTTTTAAGAAGTGGGGGAGGGATTCACATACACAAATTTCCTATGCTAAATTCAATGCCTTTTATCACAAAACTATTTATTTTTTATTTTTATTTTTTAGTACTTTCTATGCTTTTTATTTTTTTTATTTTTTTATTTTTTATTTTTTCTTAAGTTCTTTTATTGGTATTTTAGGTATACAGTTCATTTACATTTATCATTGGGTGTTTGTACCTGTACATGATGTATCTTGGTTCTTATTTTTTCCCCATTACCTGTGCACCCTTCACCCCCTCCACCCTTCCCTATTTACATAGAAAACTATTTATTTTGAAGAGCATGAGTGGCAGTGGTTATCCTCTGGTAGGTTTTTATTGTCTCATCTATAAAACATGACTAAGAAATTGAATGTTCAAACTTGGAGTTTTTAACAGTTGCTGTGATATGTCAAATTCTGGCAAAAAAAAAATTAACATGGAATCAGGAGAGGATAGCACCATCCAATCTTATTTCAAAGTTTGAAAAGTTGCTCAGTGTCCAAAAGGTACATACATTCTATTAGTAACTCAGAATGAATAATATTTTTCTTTTAACTTGTACTTTTATAAGTTATTAAGTTGTTAGGACATACTTATTAAGTTAACTACTTAATATGTAGAACTGCTAGATATTTTTTTTTGGCCTGGGGTGCTGTGAAAAAATTACCAAGACAGGGCCGGGGATTTATTTAGCTCAGTGGTTTCGGCGCCTGCTGTGCAAGCACAAGGACCCGAGTTCGATCCCCGGCACCCCCCCCCCCCCAAAAGAGTATAAAATTACGAAGACAGTAAGGTCGCTGTGAATAAGAAATGATTGGGAATAACTGATTTACATCCTTATTCACCTGAAGTCTTATCTGCAAGGGGGAGACGTCAAATGGACGCTAGCTTAAGCAGAAGCAGGGAATTATTGGCTCATATATTTGGGATGTCCAGGATTGCAGATGGCATCAAACTAGCTGGATTCAGGCTCTCACATGAGCCTCAAGGCTCCATCTATCTGTCTTTTCATCTTTTGGACAGGCTCTCCACATGCAAGCAAGATAGCCCTGAGTCCATTCTTTCCAGACCCTTTCACTTTAGCAGTTTCATCAGAAAGAGTCTTCTTTCCCAAGAGCTTGTGCATAAAAGTATGGGGGCACTTAGGTTTACCAGCCTGGGCCACTTGCCTGTATGAATGTGGCTACAGAGATTTGTAGTGGGTAAGCCTAGGTCATAGCTCCATCCCTTTGCTCAGGTCAGTGCCCCAGCTAAACCACATGGAACCAGGTGGATTCTCCTCAGAAAAGAGGGAGATATGTCACCAGAGCAATGAGAAAAGGGACACAGGACTAAAAACAATGAATTTCTCATTTCACAAATGAAGGAAACAGACTGGTAGCATGGTAGTCTAATAAATAAGCATGGAAGCTCTGGAGTTCTGTCCATCTGCTTTTAGTTCCATGATCAAATTAGTGACATCTCCATCTTTTATGGGTTTGACTTCTGATCTGTAAAATGGGCATAACTGGGGATGAAAGCCAAGAAATAAAAAATGGACAGTTATTATAGTCCCTTCTTCTAGGATTGGTGGTTGATGTGAGTAATGAGTGAATTAACAGACTCATAAGATGTGAGAAATGAATGAATTAACAGACATAAGGTGCCTTTCACAGACCTGGTAATAGGCCTTCAGTAAGTGAAGCCATTATAATTACTGATGGAGGAACCTTAAAGATCACATGCTGGTTAGTGCCTCTAGAGGCGTCCTTCCAACCAAGAAGGTAGAAGTGCACAAAGCTGATTTTCTTTTCTGTCTGTTGCAGAGTGGGACAACATGGATGCTATCAGCCAATCCCCTGCAGAAGCTGTGCTTCCCAAGCACATCTTGGATATCTGGGTCATTGTCCTCATCATCCTGGCCACCATTGTCATCATGACGTCCTTGTTGCTATGCCCAGCCACTGCAGTCATCATCTATCGCATACGGACTCATCCGGTCCTGAGTGGTGCTGTCTGAGAACCATCCAAGAGGGTCAGGTTGGGGATGAGGGTATGGGTCCCTTCTCCCAGCCTGTTCTCAGAAAAAGTGGGATGGAGCTTCAAGTTAGACCTGTGTTCTGATTTTGATTCTGCAGCTGGCTAACTGTGTGAATTTGGTCAAGTGACCTAACTCTGAGTTCTAGGTTCCTTGTCTTTCAACTAGGGATCATGATCCTCACCCTTCCTACCTCATAGGCCTGTGTGAACCAAATGACTCAGTGAAGGTGAAAGTTGTTTGTGAGCCACAAGGCCACCACAGGCCTTGTGTTAACACTGTGTTAACACTGTATGCTGAGAAGCTTTGAAGAACCAAAGAACCTAAAAGCTGGTGATGGCCTTAAAGTGGTGAGGGGGATGCTAGGAACAGAGCAGCTTTGCCAGTGCTCCTCAAAGGAAAACAAGTAAAGCCACTCTGTCCTCATTCCAAGGGACCGGCAGCGCACTGGCTCAGTTATTTTCTTTGGATTGCTACTCCCTCAAGTTTTGTCAGTTGGGAGAGAGAGGGCTGAGTTTGACAGAGGAAATGAGGTGGATAGAACTTTTCAGAACCTTCTCTGTGCCAGAGTTTCCACCCTGATGTAATCCAGAGGAGGATCCCACCATTATCTGGCAATGATATGGAAATTGGGGTGATGGGCTTCTTTCTGCATTGGAGTCTCAGGTCTCTGTTAACACTGACACTCAAGCAATGTTGGAAAATGCAGGGTGGCCAAGTATTGTGCCCAGCTTTCTGGACCTGCAGGGCCCATCCCTTATATGTGTCACACTAGAGATGCTGTATCACTGTTTCCCAGCTCCTGATATATTTGCTTCAAATGTACTGCCCTCCTTCTCCCCCACTGGCACTGAAGCCAATCCAAGGTACTTATATTTCAGGAGATATTCCCAAGGCATTTGGGACCAATTTAAAGTAATGATGGTTATTTTAGATGCTATGGTTTATGTTTATATAGAGATATTTCCAAGCCACTCAAGTTCTTTGTACCCAAATCAGAGGCATCCTAAAATTTATTAAATTATGTTAGAGGATAGCACAGATAGTAGAGTATTACTGCATAAAAATGATGCTTTTCCTTGACTTTATTTCATTGACGTACACAACCAATTTCCAATAAAATGTTAGAATGAGCATATCTGAGGTCTTTCTTTGAAGAACACATACTACACTAGGAACAGAGATAAAAATATTTCACTGAATATATGGGTCTTAGGATACTGAGTGTAGGGACAGAAAAAGAAAAATTCCACTGACTTTTAGGGTTCTAGCTCTATCAAGTGGGTAAACTGTACAGTATATACAAGCACAGTGCATCCTGGGACTGAACAAATTAAGCTTGAGGAGCTTGTGATATGCAGGTGGACGTTTTTAGGATGTAGTAAGAATCTGGTTCTATTCCTTGGGAAGATTTTATGGTTGAAGTTATGGTTTGGTGGGTAAGCTACATGAGTGAAGGGCAGATCATACAGGCTGAGAGAAGTGAGGTGCTAAAGTCAGAATGCAGAAAATACTATGTGGGAACAGAAGAGGAATAGAAGAAAAAAATCAAAGCAAGGAGATTGAAAAGGATAAATCATATCTTGTGAGTTAAGGAATGAGAGGGGAGTTAGGACCCAGAAAGAAAGAACATAAATCACTCTTCTCAAGAACAGCACTACAGTAAAGAGGTAAGTTAAAAGAAGGTATATATAGGTGAAAGTGGCGGAATTTCTATCTTATTCCATTTGGACTGCTGTAATAAAATACAATAGGCTGAATAATTTATAAACAATAGATACTTATTGTTCACAGTTCTTCAGGCTAGGAAGTCCAAGATAAAGATACTAGCAAAATGGTTATCTTCTAAGGAACCTTTCCTCATGGATGATGTCTTTTATGTGTTTTCATATGGTGGTAGGGGCATACAAGCTCTTTCAAGCATGTTTTACAAGGACGTTATGCCTGGTGCATGCCTGTAGTGCCTGCTATCTGGGAAGCTGAGGCAGGAGAATTGTAAGTTTGAGGCCAGTTGGGGAAACTTAGTGAGACCCTGACTAAAAATGAAAAATAAAAAAGGGCTGGAGGTATATAGTTCAATGTGCAAAAAACAAGACAGGAAGAGACAACAAAAAACCTAAAAAAACCCAAGGGCACTATTCCCATTCATAAGAGCAGAGTTCATAACTTTATCACCTCTTAATACACTGTGGAGGTTAATTTTCACACATGAATTTTTGGGGGACTCAGGCTTTTATACATGCTAAAATTCTGACTGGTCAGAAACCAGCCTTTTCTGGTGTGCCTTCCTTGATGTCAGAGGCTGAAAAGTGAAAAAGCATAATGAAAAATGAAAGCCTGTTTTTTGCTTAAAATACTGTTGCTAGAGATTCTGACCTGTGTTAGGTTTGCCATTCAGATGCGTATGTGTCAGGTTTCAGTTTGGGACCTAGCAGAGTTGGGAGAGATATGACCAGATATGAGGCATTTATGGTGCTGGTGTTAATCCAGCTGTGTCAGCATAACTTTGGGCCCAAGCAGCTTTTTGACACCTGGATTGCAGTTGAAGTTGGATAGTCCTGCAGCCTACAGCGAAGAGTGTGACTTTCTTATTCCCTAGGTTCCCAATTATCACAGCAGAGCAAGTCCCTAAGATGACCAGTTTTGTAGCATTGATCTGGGAGGAATTCTGGTAATTCCTGCCTTCTATTGTTCTCCAATCCTTTTAATGATATTAAGTATATATTGCTCTATAGTGAAGCCTTTTTTTTTTGCTTAAGTTTGCTGAGAGGGCACTTGGATCTAGATGGAATAACAATATTGCTATCTGTTATTGACATAGCAGTGCCACTTCTGAGTCTACATGTGATCTGGCAACAGGAAGGAAAGAGCTTTTTTAGTGAGAGGCAGACGGCTGTGGAGAAATAGAGATGCCGAGGAGCTGCTGGTCTTGAGAGATCCATTGGTGGTTATGAAATTAGAACTTGCTGGATAGTTTCTGAACAATACCTTTAAGAGTAGTGAGATAGTTACGTGAGGATAATCCAAGGGTGTGAGACAATATATAGTGGCTTTTGAAAAGAATCAAAGTACAAATTCCAAATCCATATTTATTGACCACTTTAAAAAATAAAAGGTCTGGTAATAAGTAACAATTCAAAATTGTATCTATTTAAATTAGTGTTTACATTATGTTATTTAGTTGTATACAATGATTTAGCTTAACAAAAGTAAAAATAATACAGTACATGTATGATTATAAGTGAGAATAATATATAATCATATTTTTCATATACTCCCAGTACATGTCAATCCATGTTTCCACACTTAACACTGAGGTTAGCAGAAATAACATTATTGGAGAGAAGGATGTTTGGTAAATCAGATAGAACACTGTTTCTTGTTATAACTAAAGAGCTGTAATAATCTTTTTTCTGTCTCGCCACCCTCAAACTCAACTCCAGATACAACCAAATAAATTGAGAATTACTAGAAGAAAAAAACTAAACAATTGAAATATTTACACAGTCAGAGAGGAATGGTCTGTAAATATGATATAAACAATAGAATAAAACATGGTTACTGAACATTATCTTTGAGAATGGTAAACAACAAAAAACTAGCTTTTCAATGACACCCTCAGAATTTTTATATAATGGGCTATGGGATGATGATCTGGTTGGAGAAAACAATATGAACCACCAAAGTTTTTCATAGCCCTTTATATTAGCCTAGAAAAAGGTCAACAGTTCTTACAAAAAAACCTGGGGGAGCTGCAAATAGAGATAATATTTAGGTACATATGCTATACATGCAAGCAAGGACAGGAAGAGCATAGGGGAGATTTTATTGTGGGAAATGCGATTATGGTGACCATTTCTTTTTGGTTGATTCTTCATTGGTTGTAATTGTTTATAATAAAATCATGAGTGCATGTATTGTCAATTTGTCACAAGTAAACTTATTTCTGTTCCATTTCTTGTTATAGGGGTAATTTTTGCTATTGTACTTCAAATATAACTGGGTTCATCAGATTTCTTTCTTCAACCAAACTTGTGTCCTTGAAAATCAACATTCCAATGATGTGTTTCTCTCATATATATGTACCAATCCAAAGGACTGCAGTTTGGGGAGACTGAGTGTGGCTGTGTGTGGGCACATTTCTGTATGTGTTGAGTTATAGCATGATCCACCTAAAATGCACATGCAACTTTTCATGTTATTTGCTTAACCATCCATTTAAAGTTTGGTAATAGTTTCTTAGTTACTTTTCTTGTTGCTGAGACAAAATATGTGACACCCAAAGTTAAAAAAGGAAAGGTTTATTTAGCTCACAGTTTGTAGAGGTTTCAGTCCACAGCCGATTGGCTCCAAGACAGGGTGGCATGGCAGAGGGGCATCACAAAAGAAAAACACTCCATGGCAGGCAGAAGGTAGAAGGCAGCAAGTGACAAGCAACCACAGCAGCCCTATTTCTGTCCATTATATTCTATCCAGGCTACCCACACTCACTCAGAGAGGCCCTTCCCATTATCCACTCTCAGAACTATGCCAAATCAATTAGTAAACTAATTTAATAATAACATACCCTTATTCCCAGCATCACACATTCTAGATCCAGCCTTCTCTGAAAAGCTCCACCTATGTCTATTTTGGGGCGACATCTAGACACAAGCCATAACAATAGGCAAACTTAGGGCAGAGGAGGTGAGCCAATCCCAGAGCCCACAAGGAGGCTCCCTGGCTGCCATTTCACCACTCCCAGGGCAGAGGAGGTAGCAAATCGCAGTGCCTAGGAGGAGGTTCCTTAGTCGCCATTCCACCACTCCCAGGGCAGAGGAGGTGAGCCACATGGCACCAGCAGCACCCCACACACTGAGGAAATGAGAAGACACATAAACAAGCCTCAAAAACAGACTTCCAGATCACCTACAACAACCCCAAAGGGAAACAAGATGGAACAATCCAATACTCAACCACTTGGACTCCCTGAACTGCCAAAAAAAGAGGATCTGGAAAAAATGAAATGAGAAATAATTTCTCAGTTAACAGCAGAGATTGTGCCCATAGTGCAAGACATGATTAATAAATCTAGAGAGGACACAGATAAAAAAATAGAAGATCTGAGTAACATGATGAAATCCCAACATAGGAAACAAATGGGACTCTATAAAACAGATACAAACAGATTTGCAGGACATTAAAAACTCCATTGAAAGTCTACGCAGCAGAATGAACCAATGTGAGGTCAGAATTTCAGATACAGAAGAGAAGATTGCAATTAGTGACCAGGAAAAGAAAAATTGCTTTAAAATTGTAAGGGACCATGAGAAGTCAATCCAACAGCTGCTAGACGATGCAAAGAAGAATAACATAAGACTGATTGGACTCAATGAAGAAACAGGTCAGAGTGCAGATGACATAAAAAAAACTGTTCACAGAAGTGATGGCAGAAAACTTCCCCAGCAAAGGAAAAGAACTTGACATACAGATAAGTGAGCCATAAAGGACTCGAACTAGCCTTGATGAAAAAAATCTGCACATAGGCATAGAATAGTTGGGATTCCAGAAACCCAACAGAAGAACAAAATTCTACAAGCAGT